AAAACAAACGATTTATGTTAATTATTTATACGTTTTCCAAAACGGTTTTTTTTAAACGAAACAAAATGTCAAACGACACAAAAAAAAAAAAAATTCTATTATGTTAGATTTTATAAAAACATCCCCATGATCATCATCAATAAAAAAAATTTCTTATCATTTTTATTTTTCTTGATAACAAAAAAAAAAAAAAAGAAAATTTAATAAAAGAAAAATTTTCTTTATTTTTTTTTTTTTTTTGTGTGTCGGATTTATATTAAATTTTGACGTATTTATTTCGTTTTTTTTTTTTTTTTAATATAAATTTTATTAAATGAGCTTTTGTTGTTATACGCATGGAGACATTTTAAAACGTCTTATTATTATTATTAATATTTTTTTCCACAATATAAATCCCTTGTTTTATTAATAATAATAATAATAAAATAAGGAAGAAAGGTTAATTCGGTTTGTCAATTGAAAATATTTTTAAAAAAAATTTTTAATTTAAAATTTAAAATGGCTTCCCTTTGAGGAGGAGGGGGAAGGAAGAGGGAGGGAAACGAAAATTTTAAAACCTAAAGAAAGGGCGGGAAGTGAGAGGGGAAGTGGGAATGGGTGGAAAATTATAAATTTAATATTTTTCCTTTTGAAATTAAAAAAAAAAAATTTTTTTTACCGTTAAAATAAATTATTTTTAAGGTTTTATTTAAACCTTATCGAAGGAAGGAAGGAGTAGTAGGGAGGCGGGAATCTTTTACCAACATTGGGAAAAAAAAAAAAAAAAAATTTTTTCCGCCCCGTAGGGGATTTCGAAAAATTTCATCTTTAAAAAAACATTTCAAAAAAAAAAAAAAATTATTCAACCGCAAATGTTGTGAAATAAAAAAAAAAAAAAAACATTTTTCTTTTTTTTGATCAATCGAACATAAAATTACTTGGCTTCTTTATCAAAAAAAAAAAAATTATTTTTATCAGTCTTTGATGATTTCTACCCCTCCCCCCACCACCCTCCCCGACAGTGGAGTAATATTAATTTTTTTTTTTAATATAATTTTTATCACGCGTAATAATAATAGTAATAATAACATTACTACCATTTTTCTTATTATTAAACTTCATCGTAGCATCTAATCGTTTTATTACGTAATATTTTTTTTATTACGTCATACAATATCATCGTCTCGTTCCTTCCTTTACTTATCCCAAAAAATTATTAATTATTATAATTTTTTTCTTACTTTCGATCTAAGAGTAATAATAGTATGGAGTAATAAAAAAAGCAAAATTCAATTTTTTTTAAACACAATTTTTCACATAGAATATGCAAACAAAAATATTAATAATAATAATAAATCGAATTTTTTTTATTTTAGTTTTATCGTTAAACGTTTGTTTGATAATAATAGCAGAAGATAAAAAATCCGCATTTAAATATGAATAAAAATAAAAAAAATGTAAGAGAGAGAGAGAGAGAAAAGTCAAAACGTCTTTTTCGTGCAGTAGAAAACAAAAAAAAAAAAATTACGTAATATTTCATTTCATGTATATGTAAAATTTTCCGGGTTTCCCACCCCCCCCCCCCCGTTTTCTATTTTAAAATGTTTTAAAAATCGATTTGTACAAAAAAAAAAATTTTTTAATCGATATTTAAAAAAAATTATATAAATAAATAAAAGTTTTAATTAAAATTTAAATACGTGCCACCATGATTTGTATAAAAAAAAAAAACCCTTTCATTCTCTTCTCGCATTATTATTATTATTATTATTATTATTATTATTATTAATTATTATTATTATTATTATTATTATTATTATTATTATTATTATTATTATTATTATTATTATTATTATTATTATTATTATTATTATTATTATTATTATTATTATTATTATTATTATTATTATTATTATTATTATTATTATTATTATTATTATTATTATTATTATTATTATTATTATTATTATTATTATTATTATTATTATTATTACGAGAATATTGAATATTTATTTCGATTAAAATTTTATCGTCGTTAAATTATCGTTTTAAATTATTAATAATAATAATTATAAATAATAATAACAAAAATAAATTTTTTTTTTTCGTTCGTTCGAATCGAAATTTGAAATAATCGGTATTTGAATTTAAATAAATTCCCGCCATTTTTTTTTTAACGTTTATCTAATTACACGTTTTAGTGCCCTTATTCCTCATTAACAACAAACAAAATTTATTTTTTTTTTTAAATATAATTTCAATCGTTTAAATGATTTAAACAAAAAAAAAAGTGGGGGAAAACTTGATTTTTTTTTTCAAATGACAAAACAAACAAAAACAAAACGAAAAATTTTCCGACCCCTTTCTCTACACTTTTCTAGAACAAAAAAAAAAAAAAGTGTTTGTTTTAATGAAGTGTTGTGTTTGTACAACAACAAATTTTTTTTTTTTTAAAAAATAAATAATTTAAATTAAAAGTATGTAAATTATTTTTAAATATTTTCAAATAGCGATTTTATTTAGTTTTTGTATATTTAATTTCATTCGTTCAACTCTTTGTGTAAATTTTTATTGTTTTTTTCTTATATTATTAAAACCCTTCGAGTAACTAACTATTTTCCGGTGAGGGGAAGAGAGAGGGGAGGAGGAGGTGAGGGGCAAACAACGAAAACATTTATTGTACTGTTTAGTCAGTTATGCTGAAGAAAAAAGTTTAAAATTTAAAAAGTTTTTTAATTATTTAAATAAAATAAAAAAAAATACAGAAACGAATTTAAATAAATTTTTTTGTCTTTTTCCTAATGATAAAAATTTAAATTTTTAGTTTTTTTAAGACTAAAAAAAATTCTAAAAAAGGGGAAGCAAAAAAAATCGAATACGAATACTTTATAAAAGAAAGTGAAAGAAAGGTTTTTAGAGAAAGTTGTTTTTGTTGTTGAACGAGA